GGTCCCCAAAACTAGAATATATCAGGCTGGGAAATTCCTGATAAGTTAATACAGAAAGAATCAGTCTCAGTGCTCTGGCGCATAAAGAACAAAAAGCAGGCCCGGTTCAGGTCAACACTATCTCTGCAATTACATAGGCCATCAAAACTCTTCAAGTTTTCTGTACTCTATAATTATGAACACAACTCCCTGTTTAGAAAGACTTTCTTGTTGGCCTTAGCCACAAACTTTTTTTTCCCAAATAAAGGCTCTTGCTCTGCCCATTCAGATGTTACACACAGTCAGGGCTTGACAAACCACAGCGAAATCTACTCTCCAGCCCCACGTTGCGCGTGCTGCCAATGAACAGGGCGATCAGCTGAAATCTACTTGCCATAGGCGAATAGATTCACTGATTTATTGAGCCCTGTGCATAGTAATCAGAACCTGGACTCAGGTCAGGAGTAGTCACATGTCTAATGCCTCCCACTAAATGGGCAGCTGGGGAGTAAATAGGCTAAGCAAGCTGAAGGTCCCTCTCTCGCAGACTGCTATAACTTGGAAGTTAGGACTGCCCTACACAGGAAAATTTACTAGTATAATTATACCACTGTAAATTACCCACATGGACATACTTCTTTGGAAATAAGTATGCCTTTGTCTGGTTCATTTATGTCACTTCCAAGCATTTAGGAGACAGCGAAGCCAATAGGGTCAAAGAATAAGGCATCTCTCTCAAAATCCTACCTGATTATGATAATCAATTTCAGTCATAGTGAAAGCACCCAAACTGACACCAAGAGTTAGTGGAGTAGCGCAGGGGGCAGGAGGCAAGGATCTCATCCATGCAACTGTAATTATTTTTTAGGGTGCTAGAAGAATGGCATTCAGTCATATGAGTTCCCCTTTCCCACTGACCAACTCCCAGACACAGAGCCTGTGACAATCTTCCTTCTCTATAGGACAATTTAGTGCTCAGTCATCTTACTCAGCCTTCTGGGGCTAATGTGCCACAGAAGACCATGTAAGTGACCAGCAAGCTACATGCAATGGTTGGGGAAATGTCATAAAATAAGTTTCATGGAATGCCACTCTTGGCTGATCTTTTTCATTTTAACCTATCTAGGCTCATCACAAATCAGTTCTTACAATCTACGTTTTTGGAAATATTTGTATACGGTACATTATACATAAACACAGCATAACCTTGTTTTCTTGACTATTGAATAGCATGGAATCAATATATCAATCGGAAAAAAATGAAGTTTTTTGTTTTAAAAAATTTTAGATTAACTTCAGAAGTTACATCTTTTTCAATCATCCCATACAAAGGGCTGAAGAGAGACAAGAAGTTGGAACTAGCATTCTACAGTCCTTTTACAGCATATAAAACCAAGTAAAGCCTACAAAGTCAAATTCCTCATAAATCGCTTCCTGTACTCAGGGTATCACATGCAATAATAAAAGATCTGAACACAAAATACTAACATTGGAAAAAAGGAAAATCATTGTTTTTAGTCACTTTTATAAGTTTGTTATTTAACTATAGAGCCAAACAATTTAAGAATACATGAGCAGTGCAAAACAAAGACTACATTAAGACATCACATTTTTGTATAAAAAAGGTTATTCAGTTGACTAACATGACTCAGTGATGGATTAATTAGGATATCATAATTTTATCATAACATGAAACCATTGCTAATATACACATCTGCTGCTACCAGTAAATATCACAACCATGTTTTCTTTATTATTATTTACAATGTTGTTATTAGTATCTTCTGTACCCTCCTCCCCCCCGTCCACCATATGGCTCTCCATAGCCACCTCTGCCACTGTAACCTCCCCTGCCTCCATAG